GGTTATATAATATATAATAAGCTGATAACTAAATAAGACATTTAAATAACATATATTTTACTCACTGAAGCTTTTTTTAATCCGTTTAAAAACTCTATCTTTTTTTTTCTTCAAGAAAAATCTGTCTCCTCTGTCATACAGGTCCTCATGGCCTTTCGTTTCAACAATAAGTCCTTTTCTATCACCGCCATGACTGAAAGTCCAGTCTGTTCTGTTCTGTATGTTTGTTATAAGTTTTAATTTCCTGTAACGCTGAGAACATCCGCTCAGCGTTTAGCTTGTAAGACGCTACAGAAATCTAGTTTCCTGGTTCTGACTCCTGCTCTCTGATCAGCCAATCAAACGATGTGAAAATGTTGATGCTGTCCGAGGCCAGTCAGCAGGCTCTGGTGTCTTCACCTCAGCACCTGATTGGTCAAAGCAACAGTATCGCTGCCATGTGTTTCACCCTCCAGGTGCCTTCACTGCTCGTTTGGAAGGCCTGAGGCAGATTTGTGGACCTTAGCAACAGATGACGATCAAAATATGATTGGATAAAAGCTCTAAATAAATACAAGCTGCTGGAAGCTGCGCAGCCAGGAGAAAAACTATGAAATGAAGAAAACTAGTGATTCTGATTGTGTTTAGGCCAGCAGAGAAGGCTTTGCTGGCCCTGACGGAACACCACTGTTTAACAGTAAACCTGACTAAACTTTATTTAGTTTGGAAACTTTTTATATAAATTTTAGAAACTGACAGCAACAAAAAAAGAAAAAAAAAGAAATTAAACTGTAGGTAGAAAGTGCCCCCCCCCCCCCATTTTTAATATAAAGAAGTAGATAACTGAAAAAAAAAAAAAACATTTTACAGCTTTGATAAAATTTTGAGCAAGAACCTGTTTTCAGACAAAATCCTCAAGCACCTCTTTTTGTTCTGGTTCTGGCCACATAGAGGCTGACTGCAGGTGGGAACTGACCTGGAGATGAGGTAATTCAATGAGAGGCGGAGGATGGCCAGCAACAGGAACATGGGGATGGCCCAACCACGCCATGCTGCGTACATATAAACCTGCAGAGAACACACACACACACACACACACACACACACACACACACACACACACACACACACACACACACACACACAC